TGCAGCACATTTGCCCAGCGCAATATGATGTCTGATTCCTTGACTACTGCTTCTATTAGTGTTGATTGTGGAACCAAGTAATATGAAATCTTTGACAACTTCAACCTTCTCTCCATTGATCTTGATGCTGCTTATTGGTCCAATTGTAAAGATTTTCATTTTTTTAATGTTGAGATGTAATCCATACTGGAGACTGTAATCTTTAATTTTCATCAGTAAGTGTTTCAAGTCATCTTCACTTTCAGCAAGCAAGGTTGTGTCATCTGCATATCAAGGTTGTTAATGAGTCTTCCTCCAATCCTGATGCTGCATTCTTTATATAGTTCAGCTTCTTGGATTATTTAAGGAGCTCTGGTGGTGTAGTGCCTGAGGCGTTTGACTGCTAACCATAAGGTTGGCAGTTCAAACTCACTACCCACTCCATGGAAGGAAGACTGGACAATCTACTTCCATAAAGATGTCCGCCTTGGAAACCCAGAGGGCATCACTATGAGTCAGAATTGACTTGATGGCAGTGAGTTTGGGTTTGTGTATGTGTGTGTGTGAGGGGGGTGGATTATTTGTTTAGTGTACAAATTGAAAAGTATGGTGAGAGGATACAACCCTGATGCATTCCCTTCCTGATTTTAAACAATGCAGTATCACCTTGTTCTGTTTGAACAAATGCCTCTTTCTCTATGTATAGGTTCCTCATGAGCACAATCAAGTGTTCTGGAATTCCCGTTCTTCACAATGTCATCCAAAATTTGTTATGATCCACACAGTCAAATGCTTTTGCATAGTTAATAAAACACAAGTTAACATCTTTCTGGTATTCTTTGCTTTCAGCCAAGATCCATCTGACATCAGCAGTGCTATCCCTTGTTCCATGTCCTCTTCTGAATTCAGCTTACATTTCTGGAAGTTCCCTGTCAATATACTGCTACACTCATTTTTTAATTATCTTCAAAATTTTACTTGCATGTGATATTAATATTGTTAGATAATTCTCACATTCTCTTGGATCACCTTTCTTTGGAATGGGTACAAATATGGATCTCTTCCAGTCAGTTGGCCAGGTAGCTGTCTTTCAAATTTCTTGGCATACATGACTAAGTGCCTCCCATGCTGTATCAGTTTGTTGAAACATCTCAGTGGGTATTCTGTCAATTTCTGGAGGCTTGTTTTTCACCAGTTCTTTCAGTGCAGCTTCAACTTTTTTCCTTCAATACCATTGATTCTTGATCATATGCCACCTCCTGAAATAGATGAACATTGACCAATTCTTTTCAGTACAGTGACTCTGTGTATTCTTTCCATCTTCTTTTGATGCTTCCTGCGTCATTGAATATTTTACCCATAGAATCTTTCAGTATTGCAACTCGAGGCTTGAATTTTTTCTTCAGTTCTTTCAGCTTGAGAAATGTTGAGTGTGTTCTTCCCTTTTGTTTTTCTAACTCCAGGTCTTTGCACATTTCATTATAATAATTGACTTCATCTTCTTGAGCTGCTCTTTGAAATCTTCTGTTCAGCTCTTTT